AACATTAAAGAGCCTATTGCAAAAAACAAAAAAAAACAAAAAAAAAAGATTAGGGATTAATTTGTCAATCGTGAAAAGTAGAGAGATTCCATGTAAAAAAGTCTTACAAATTTAAATTTAAATTTTAAATCATAAAGTTATTAAAATACCTCAAAATTACTAATTAAATGTCAATTTTTTTTAATATTTTAATAAAAAATTTTTTTTATTACATTATTTAAGAGAGTAAATTTAAGATTTAAAAATTAAAAAATAAAGTGTTATAAACGATATAATTGTGAAATTTTTACAAGGGGCAAGTCTATGGTAGGGGGCGGCAAAATCTCTTTACCAGTAGGGTAACATAATAGTATATCTTTTGCCTTACGACCCATCACCACTTTGACGTCCCCTGAACGACCCGCCCCGTTCACACCCAACCACTGTGGCTCCCATCCTGCGACGACCCCCAGCTTTGCCTCGCTCAACCCCAGCGAGATTCGTTCAACTCCGGCCCTTCACTAGATTGCTTTTGAAGCTCTATTATTTTTTGAAAATATCAAAACTAAAAAAGAAAAAAGAGAGAAAAAAAAAAAGAGTTTATGGCACCTTCACTGGCTCTAACCACAACTAAGAAACATTCTAAAAAAAAAAAAAAGACAACCCAGAAACCAGGGGTTGTTTTTTGCAATAAAATTCAGAAAAAATTTAAACTTAAGTTACAACTTTATTTAAGTTCACGTTCTTATAAGTTCTAATTTTATTTAATTTTACTCAGTTTTATTCAAATTACAATTACAACTCAAATTATAATTCAAATTCAACTCAAACATTACACTCAAATCATACTTCAAAAGAACATGCCTCAAAATTCTTAAACTAGGTGATTAGATCAAGTTGTTCCCTGGCTTTAGGATCATGGTTTTTGTTTGCTCTTTTTCTTGGATGGTCAAACTTGCTTTGTAAATTCATTCCTCCCTCAAAAGTTCATTCATTTTCTTCCTACACAAACAACTCTTCTATGTTCGTCATATCAAGCAGACTCAACATATTAAAACATAATAATAATTACACACAATTCAGAAAATATCACCAAAGATTGCAAGGGGGAACTTTTTCTTTTTTAAGAACCCAAAAGATGAATATTTCTTCATTAATCAAGACTGCCTGTAAAACAAATCAAACAAATTCAAGTCATTCTTTTGATGAACCAACAACAAGAATATGAAGAATTGTAAATACAGAGCCACGACAAAGCCCCAGTCAACGCCAAGTCAAACCCAGACGACATAAATCTCATGCTCTTCGTCCTATTAATCAGTGGGTCGCTTAATAATGTCAGTGAAATCGTTGGTGATAGCGACTTGAAGAGGTTTGACGTCGTGACCCCCAGCGTCGAAGAAGACAAGAATGTGGCGGCGATGGAGAGTTGACAGGAAACAGCGATGATCTCAAAGGAGGAGAGCTGGGAGGACTTAATTTGATTTGGTGCCATTGTCCAGGGAGGGCTGTCGCGGGCGAGATGCGCCGTCTTCGTGCCGGCGCCGTGGGAGGAGTGGAATTCCATGGGAGGAGGTTTGAGATGAAGTTTTTTTTTTTTTTGAAAATGTTTGAGATGAAGGTCCCCTTTGCTAATGCTTTTAAAATAATTTTATTTTCAGTATAAAAGTGAAAATGAGATTGTTTTGAAAATTATTCTAAAGTCGATTTTGAAATTGCGTTTAATTAATATTTTAAAAATTATTTTGAGTACAGTAAAAAAGTAAAATCATGTTTAGTTATATTTATAAACAAAATTTCTAGTACATATAATTAATAATGTTTAATTAATATATCAAGTAATTAATAATTGATAATCACTTAATAAATAAAAATTAATATATTAATAATATAATAACAATGAATATATTATAATTAATGAGTACATTGGTAATTAAACTATATATATAATGAATTAGTGTGCTAAATAATTAATAATTAGTAATTAATAATTAGTTATAAGTAATTACTACGTTAGTAACGTACTCGTATTTATTAGTTTATAAATAATTAATAAATGTATTAAGAAAAAATAATTAGTATATAAATAATATATTAATATTCTATTTATTATTTAAATAATTAACTTTTAGTTACATAATTAAATAATTTGTTAATTAGTTACTAACATTTATTTAATAATTTATTATTTAATATATTACATGATCAATTTTTGATAATTATTCTTTAAATAATGGCGAATTGCTAATTATCAATTATTAATTACTATTGATTAGTATATTACAATTTATCATGTAATTTAATATGATTATTAATTGAATAATTACTATTTTTTTATTTATCAACTATTTACTAATTAATAGATTGCAATTAATATATGATTGATATATACAAATTTAATAATAATAATAATAATTTAACATTAATTAATAATTAAGTAATTACTATCTATTTATTAATTATAATCATATCTATTTATTAATTATTAATTAATATATTATATAATTAGTAATTAATAATTAAATAATTTAATGTAATATTATTGGTAATTATTAGAAAATGAAAATAGAAAAGAAAAAACAACTTCTAATCGTTCTCTAAGTTCTTTCACAAAAATCATTCTCATTATTTTTTATTTTCATTTTTAAATTATTTATTAAACAAACGTAGTTTGTAGACTGTTTTCATTTTCGTACCATAAAAAATGAGTGAAAATGTTTTTAAAAATAACTAAAAAACAGTTCTAAACACACCTAAAATTTTTGACTCAAAGAAAATATCTAATTAGATGCGGGAGTCTTTATTTTTGTTTATGTGGGAGTAGTTATTTTAGGCCATTGACTTTTAATCCAAAGGTGTTTATAATTTCACCCTATCGACAGTAAAAAAGAACTCCCTACTATAGACATACCTTTTTATAATTAATCCAAAGTATTTTTCTGAAAGCCAAATGGAAAACATTCCCGATACATCCTTAACAACACGTTAATAGGACTGGACTAGACGTCCATTAGTTTCATTCATTTTTTTTTTTTTTTTTTACTTTACTCTCTCCAAGACTTCGAAAAGCCGACCGTTGCAGGACCAAGAGGACTGGGGGCAAGTGCAACTTGTAGGCAGCGACGTGGGCCAGGGACAATGTAGGACCCACAGTGGCAAGGGGTTAGGGATGCTCCAAGGAACCTATGTAAGATGGGTTTGATGTGACGTGTCAGTTGGTGAATGGCAAGGGATGGGATTGGGATTTTAGATTTCTGGTCCCGACCACGATCTCCACCGTCTAACGGTCGCGTTTCTCGGGCTTCCCGCCTCCCTCAATTCGATTCCCATCCCTCGCATTTGTCCCTCGCCGCCCCCTCATTCCCCATATAATAATAATAATAATTATTATTTTATTATTTTTATGTCAAATTTATTGGCTTTATTATTATTTTATTATTATAATTAATGTTCATTCTCCTCCTTTGCACTTCCATTTATTGTCACTTCGCTGATTCGAGTTTAGAATTTGAGTTGAGATGTAATTTTATGTGAGAGTTTTTTATTGTAATAAAAAAGTTAAATGTGATTATTTGTGAGAGCTTTTTACTGTAGAAAAACTCAAATTCTAAACTCGAATCAGCGAAGTGAACAGACCCTGAGCCTGCTTTGTCTTTTTTTTTTATTTGGCTTTTATTGCACATGTGATTTTATTTTATTTTTCCTTTTTCTACTTGAGTTATTGGGGAATTTTTTCAACAATATGGGCACGAGATTTGATTTTATTTATTTTTCTAGTCGCAAAAACTTAAATTTTTTTATCAAGTTTCGGTAGTTCCATTTTAGTATTTTTGCTCACGCCTTCCCTTCATATGTGAAATCAACTTTTAACTTCAGTTTTTTAACTGATGGATATAGTAAAATATTAGACACATAAAAGTATAACATAACTATTTATTCAGCAAAAAAGAAAAAAAAAGTACATAACAATTTAGGTAAGAAGAAGCTTCCTCTAGCAAATATATATATTTTTTGGACATGATCAAACAAATATTCTCCAAACAAAAGTTTCCCGTAGTAAACTTTTATTTTGGCTGCTATACAACTATTTTTGCGACCTTAAGTGAGAATCAACATGTTTCCAATACTGGTAGAACATATTATTTTGGCTGCTATACAACTACGTAAAGAATAAGTTAACAAATAGCATAATAATATTTTTTAAGAAATTATAATTTTTGTCAAAAAACAATGGTTCATGTGGTTTTAAATTTGGCGGAGATTTTACACAATTCAAGATTTGAGGTATTGAGTTCAACCTTCACCGTATTTTTTTTAACAAGAAAATTAACTAAAATAATTTATTATTATGCGTAAATTTTTATTTTGATCCTGTTTGTTTCATACAATTAAACTCATAGTTTTAATTTTATTATAATATTTATCTCTCATAAAAATTTTTAAGTTTCAAATGTCAGAGTTAATAATCAAACGTATAAATTAAACGAGCCTTTATTGATGCAATATATTTTTTTTCATTAGCCTATTGAGACATTGAGAATAACAATGCACCTTTTTTTCCCCCTTATTTTTAAGTAAACTAACCGCTAAGTAACCGTTAATATTGCAGTGAATTTTTTAAAAGGAAGTTTCTTGCGACCTTTTAAAGGAAATATTCTAGAAGAGAAAACAACATTATTTTTTTCTTAAAAAAATATTATTTCGTGTCGACTTTACGCCGGAAAGCATACATCTCACGAAAGGGCAACTTCGTCAAACAAAATTGAAAGTGAAATTGTACGGCATAAACAGGGGTAGTTCCGTCAAATAACGGAAATAAAAGAAGGCCCTGCCAGGTCTGCAACAGGCTGAAAAATCAACTTGCCGTCAGATAAATTATTTTAATTTTAATATTTTTTGCCCTTTTCAATTTGATCAACGACGAAAACGAAGAAACCTACCGAATTTAAATAAAAACTCAAAATTTAGAAAGAAAAAACTAAAACTAAAATATTTAAAAATAAAATATATGGAAACGGAAATAGTTAGAGAGAAACAAGAAGAGGAAGAAGAAGAAGAAAGCGAGACGATATTAAAAGAGAATTGAAATCGAAAACCAAATAACGTCTCAGAAACTCGAAAAGCTTTTTTGATTCTTCGAAAGCTTTTCTCTCCTTCTCACTCTCCGAGACCAATCTGAAGCCCTAGCCCCATCCATTAATGGCGTCCTTATTGCTTCTCAAGCAATCTCCGTGAGCGTTTCTCCGTCGGCGACACCGGAAATGGCCGAGAAGCCGCCGCCGGCAATACACATCGCGTCATCCCCGTCGGCTAGGGTTTCGGGTTTAGTTTCAGTTTGTTCTCGGCGGAGTCCGACCTAGAAGCGTTTGGCACCGTCCGATCAATCGAAGGAGGGGGAATCTTTCTCGTATCTAGAGGCAGGAGCAAGCCGGGGCCGTCGGATCGTCGCCGTAATGGCGAAAGGAGGGTTCTTCCTCGAGAAGCTTCGGAGGTGCGTACGGACGGTGTTCTTCATGGTGACGATGTTGGTTTCGCTGCTGGTCTCGTCATTACCGGTGCTGGTGGCTATAGGCGACGTGTTGGTGCCTTGCGTTCTGATCTCGAGTTTTACATGCGTCAGGTGTTATGGTTTCAAAGAGCATTTGAATCGATATGCCTTCAAGAGCTCTCTCACCGATATTCCTCTCGTCTCTGTTATTAGATCTCTCATCATTACTTGTATGATTCTATTACCGCTTTTTAATCAGCTTCCTTCTCATTTCTTTCCTTTTTCTGTGCATTTATTTTCATCGAGATTTTCATCCCTTTTTTTTGTTGCCAATTTTATTTCTCCTGGCGAATCAAAAACAACTTCTTTCATAGAAAAATCCGACTCAATTATTGAGAATAATGGAAATTCGACTATTGATGCTGGCTGACTTGTTGTATTCGTCACATTTTTTCTTGCTCGGTTATAGCGTTGAAAGCAGAGGAAAATACTTTTATTTGTGCTTGTTTTTTCCGCTTCCTCTTTCTTCTTCTCTTTTTATATCCTTTTCAAATTAAAGATTAAAGGTGAAGCAGTCATCATTCAGACCAGATGTTTTTCCCCCTAAACAACCGATTTTTGTATGATTTTGTTTGAAATACTGTTTGGGAAACTTGAGAAATGAATCTTGCGCAATCCAAGTGTTTGAGCTTAATTTAAAATTGGCATGGTTCAGATGGGTTTGCATTGTAATCAAATAAATTGAAGCGAAAGATTCATTCGGTCATATATTATTTGTTTCTTTTATCATTTCGCTGATATGTGCCTATCTATTGATTCATGATACAGGTGTTTATTCTATGTGTGATGGCCCTGCTCTATCACACGGTCCATATCTTGGAACTGTGTCTATATGTTCCTTCGCATCAATTCTTCTTCTTTCAGTTAAGGCTTGTGTTTTTACTGTAAATTCTCAAATTGAGGCAGAAGCTTCATCTTCCCCCTCAAGGCGGAGGCTCCACCTTAAGAAGTCATGGGGTATGCCTGTCTTGTTTCTCTCATCACTGGTTTTTGCCCTTGGCCATACTGTGGTGGCTTATAGAACAAGTTGCAGAGCAAGGAGAAAGCTCCTATTTCACCGAGTTGACCCTGAAGCGGTATGTTTTTTTTTTTTTTTTTTTTTTTTTTTTTTTTTGAAATTATTGGGTTTTTTTGGCTTTTCCCACGTCAGTCTTCAAGATAGATCATCACTTTATACCAGAAATAATGCGGATCAAAGTTGTTTTTTTTTTTTTTTTTTTTTTTTTTTTCGTTAGAATGATATGGTTATTTGTGCATTTCGTAATTGCTGAAGCTTTCATCTTTTCTAAGATTTTGTGTTCTTTCCATTCTTTTTCTACTGGGAGGAAATTTTATGGAGGATACTTTAATGTTGAATTTTTTACGAGATTCAGTTTGTTCTTTCTAATATATGTTCGTGTACTTCTCACAGTTCTTCTCTTCAAATGAACAGGTCCTCTTGTGTAAAAATGTTTTTTCTGGCTACCAGAAGGTCCCACGATCTCCCACTCCCTCTGGGGGTAAAACCCCGAAAAGTGATGGTGAAACAAAGCGGAAGCACTTTGGGGTTGCTCGTGATGAAGGGGAACTTCCGGTCAGAGTACTTGCAGATGTTGATAGCTTATTCATCCAATGCCAAGGGGTTACGCTCCATTACAAGCTTAGTTTGCCTGGTTCTCCGCTTCGTTCCTTATCGTCCACTACGTTTCTCGATTCTGATCCCAGTGGAAGGTCCTCACAAATTGCTATGGGAAGGCCAACACCTGATAAGCATCTGTTACATTTGTTTTCAAAAAGCCAGTATAATCTACATCGGAGCTATAGCAATCAATTTCAGAGCTCATCTTTGTATGCTCCACTATTGGATGGCTCCACGACTTCTCCTGTTCTTTCCGAAGAAATTCCTCCCTTGAGCCTAGATGCTGGTAAAGAGGACGAAGTGCATAATATGAATTCCCCAACTTTGGAGAAGGATTTGGAAGGAGATGGACAGTTTGGTATTGTTTTAGTGCATGGTTTCGGTGGAGGAGTTTTCTCATGGAGACACGTGATGGGGGTTCTGGCTCGGCAGGTTGGTTGCAGAGTTGCTGCTTTTGACAGACCTGGCTGGGGATTAACCTCAAGGCTACGTAGGGAGGATTGGGAGGAAAATGAAATGCCTAATCCTTACAAGCTTGACAGTCAGGTAATTGCCACTGATCTATTGTATCTCTTTTGTTTTTTTAATGAACTGTAAATACTCTGTTCTCACCTCTTAGCTAGAAGCTCACTGACACAAACAACACTCAAGCAAGCCCACTATAGGCCATCTTGGACCTAAGCAAAGTGTTGGCAGGTGGTAACGCATTTAATTTAACTTCGTGCCGTGTTTATGTTTATTAGTGGACTAGTAGAGGTTTATTATGCAAGAGAGAAATTGTTTATCTAGTAACTGGGGGACAATGGATGCTTGCGTTGGGTTTACTTGGCCTAGGTTGTTATCTACTTTTCATTTCAGCAATCTATTTGGGAATGAATACTGTATTTAGTGTTTGAGTATTTTAATATTTCTGGCTTCAGGTTGAACTGCTTCTTTCTTTCTGCGCTGAGATGGGTTTTTCCTCAGTGGTCCTTGTTGGTCATGATGATGGAGGGATTCTGGCTTTAATGGCTGCACAAAAAGTTCAAGCATCTTTGAATTCTTTCAATGTGTGTATGCTTCCTTACTTTCCAGCAAGTACACATCTTAAGATATTTTGTTATCTTAAGCTCCATAGGTTTATCTCACGATGTCCCTCGTTTTATTTTTTTGTATGTGTGCGGGAGGGTTGAATATAATTTACTGGACGCCAAATACAGAATGGTTAATATGTTGCAATGAGTGTCTTTGTTTTTGAATGCTTACAAGTCTCTAAAATGCATCTTTTTAATCGTTTCATTGTACTTTCTTTACGCATCGTTCAGGTTACAATTAAGGGGGTGGTCTTATTAAGTGTTAGCTTGTCAAGAGAGGTGGTTCCTGTCTTTGCAAGAATTTTAATGCGTACATCACTGGGGAAAAGGCACCTGGTGCGTCCTCTACTGCGAACAGAAATTACTCAAGTGGTGAATCGGCATGCATGGTATGATGCTACGAAGTTAACGACAGAGGTTTTGAGTCTGTATAAGGTATGGGCTATGACTAGCAATATTTAGAATTTTCCACTTATTTAAAATTTTAATAGATTTCCCTCAACATGGAAAAATAAATAAAGCACTGGTAAAGGCGTGATACTGCGGTTTATATGCCTCCTGGCGTCTCTACTAATAGAATAATTAATAGCTAAGGGCCCCGAGTAACTTACGAAATGAAAGTTTGGCCAAAATTCCTGTCATCTCCTGCTGCTTTCTCTTTTATGTAGTTACTGACTAACAGGATTTTCTTTAGTTACTGAATAACACGTTTTGCACCATTCTCACCTAGAATAATCTTTTTCCTTGGGCCTTGGCACTTTAACCTTTTTCCAGGTTGAATGGCATAATCCACATTCTGTTTACTTGTGTTTTGTTTTGTTTTGTTTTGCATCAGGCTCCTCTTTGTGTAGAGGGATGGGATGAAGCGCTTCACGAGATTGGTAGACTGTCATATCAGACAGCCCTTACTCAGCAAAATGCAATATCTTTGTTGAAGGCAGTTGTAGATTTGCCTGTGTTGGTAATTGCAGGTGCTGAAGATGCCCTTGTCCCTCTTAAATCTTCTCAGGCTATGGCTTCAAAACTTGTAAATTCTGTAAGTAATTTTCTTTTATTATTCTGTTTTTACCTTTAGAATGTTCACGGACTAAACCAAAACTAATTAACACATTTAAGCCGGTAGTGAATGGTAAAAATGAAAACAACCTCGCCCTTGGATGTTTTCCTACACATTTATAATTTTATACCTGGAAACTGGAAAATTATATGTTCAGCTGGATTTCATAGGAAATTCTTTGTATATGTTAAATTCCTCGAATTTAATGATGACATTTTGGTATGCAGAAACTGGTTGTGATTTCTGGATGTGGCCACCTTCCGCACGAGGAGTGCCCGAAGGCATTGCTTGCTGCTATATCACCCTTCATAAGCATACTTTTACTAAAACAATGCTCACAAAACCAGTAGCGTAACTTCTTTTGACTTATAAGTAGGGATTTATCGGTTGTAGGGCGGGTTTTCCTTTTCGTTCTTCTTTCTCTTGAAGCAATTTATCCAAAGAGCAAGAGAGTAGTGCCATCTCTTCTTTTGGGTATTTTTGATGCGTTAGTTTGGGGCCTTACCCTCTAATTCTCTAGGGTGTTAGCTCTTTCATTGTATTTTTCGTTTTTCTTTTCTTTTTTTTTTTTGGCCTTTCATTTCTTTGCTTTGGAATGTTTATTCTCACCAATTGTTAGTTCCACTAAAGTGGTGGAATGGAAGATGACGTATATTTTGTAGATTTGATCAGCTTTGAAATGCATGCATTTAAACCATGCTTTCGTCCATTTGTTTCCTGATTTTTCACTTGTAGCTATAGATAGATATAAAGGGAGTGACTATGATAACGAATTCTATTCTATAACGTACGTAATTCAAAGCGTTGGATTAGATCGGACGGCTTGAAATGGTCACTCCACCCACAGCGGATGCCAACACGGTGCGAGCCCCAGATCCCCTGGCCTCTGGTCGGCAGCGAGGACGTGCGATCTTGCCTCCCCCCCCCACGATGGTGTAACTTGTGTTGAAAAGCTGAGAATTCTGTCTAGTTTTTTGCGGTTTAGTTCTTATGCTTCAATTTAAAAAAAAAAATCTATAAAACCATAAAATTCTGTTTTGGACCGGATTAGAACATCTTGAAAGTTGAAATTTATGTTTTGCAGGTATTAATCCTATCATTTCCATGTGATGGAAGACCTGCCATTAAAGGCTGTATTTTTTTTTCTTTTTCGTTCCGAGTTCTTTTAAAAGAAGGCTAAATTAGATGTTGCAAACGCTGGGTTTTCTCTCCAAAATCAAATTCAACGCACTCTCAAATATAGCTCAAAGGGGGATAAAGAGTTGACACTCTGACATAAAAAAACAGATCAGGGTTTTGATTTATAATTCTACTACCCAAGGACATAAGCTGACCGTGGCACTGAAGAAACACAAACTGATATCTATGGTTGCATTATAAACTCAAAACGTTGTATTATATCAGTTTTTGACATAGACTTAGTGTGGTATTGCTTTTTCCTCTTAAAATCAACTTCTGCTTATAGCATAAGCTGATTTTAGTGCTTAGTAAATCTCCTCAAAAGTATTTTTTGAAGACAACTTTAACTTTTAGATTTTGCGGGAATCAACAAAGTATAATTAATAAAACTTTCATAATACCCATACTCCTAATGAAATTTAAAATTTACAATCTTCCCAATCTAAAATTCAGACTCGTAATATAATATAATAACAAATAATATCATAATTATATTAATAAATATAATATTATTATTTTATCATATAATATGATATTATAATAATATTATGATTATTTTAATAATATGATATATTAATTATAATATGATATTGTAATTATTATTTTATAATATATTATATACTATATTGTATTGATATAATTATATTTATTATATTAATAATATTACAATAATATTATTATAGTATATTGATATAATTATATTTATTATATTAATAATAATATAATAATTAATATAATTAAATATTAATATAATCTTATAATTCTAATATTATTATATATTATAATGTATTACACACGTTATGGTATATAATATTTCTTATGTGATATTATAATATGTTTTATAATATTATAATTATATTAACTATTTTAATAATATTATTATATTATATACCATAGTTATATAATATGTTATTTAATAATAAGTTTATTGTATTATATTAAATATAATAATAAATATACATTATATTGTAATTATATATATTATATTACAGTATAATATAATATAATAATAATTTTTTTATTATATTAAATATAATAATAGATATATATTATATTGCAATTATATATATTATATTATAATATAATATAGTCGTAATTTTTAACTATTCACATCAATTTAACTTCATAATTTATCAAACGCTATTACACTAATTTTAGAACCAGCACAGCTATTGTAATTATAATTTACCGAATACTTAACTACTTTTTGTAACAACTGCTTCTTCTTTCAACATAGTTAAAAATAATTTTTTAAAAATCTACAATACTACTGTATTGTAGTACCTCCACTAAGTAACATCTAGTTCGCCTCTTGGGCCTTTGTCGAAAGGAACTCTACTTTATTGGGCTTTGATCCACTTCCTCTTTTACAGGAAGTGATAGTGATCGTTCTATAATATATATATTAGAAAAATGTCTACTGAACATTTATTTCTTATTCTTAATAAATATTTAAGAATAAATATTTTTTTATTAGTATAATTATTTAATTAAAAATATTATAAATTAAGAGTAAAGATAAAATTTTAACCTATACACTTTTAAAATATATTTATCAAGATTACCCATAATCTTACCATGCAATTTCTTTTTCTTGTAATAAATAATACATTTATACAGTAAATTACTATTTACTTAAAAAGTTTTAAAATTTTCTATTTATTTATTATAGTTTTAAAAATATATTATTTACTACAATTTCTTGAAAGACTAAAATGCCTACGACCCATTTCACATACTCCCCTCTAATGTATGGGGTCCATCATAATTCGAGCAATTCCCAACGTTAAGGATGACATAAAAGTATCGTTTGTTATTCTAGCATTTTCCAGATAAAAAAAAAATTTATTATAAATTGATGACAATTTTTATAGTATCTATAATGGCAACTCACACAGTAATAAGTTGATATGGAAATTAGGATAGGAAAAAGTTTGAGATTGTAGCACTGTTCTTTTAATATTAGTTAGTAAAACTGAATATATTCGAGTGATGATGAATTCTGTTAGTTATTCCATTGGTTGCCTTTAATTAGTTTCTATACCACAAAAAAGTCCAAGATTTTGAGGAATTTTCAAAAATATTATCAACAAAGTAAACAATATTTTATTCTGCATTGTTGTTAAATTTACTTTATATTATTAATAAGTTGTAAATTATTTTTTTATAATATATACATTATCTTTTATAATCTTTAAATAATTTTTTATAATCTTGTAAGTTATCACTTTGTATTTTATAAATTATTTTCTGTAATGACATTAAAATTTATGTAATAACATAAATAATAGAAATAAAAATAATGGTTAAACTTGAAATTTTTTTTTTTAAAATCTTTTAACTTAATTGGATGGCATAAGAAAAATCGAGTTTTTTTTTTCTTTCGTTTACTTTTTTTTTCTTTTTAAGAATTGTAACACCCTGAAAAATTAATTGAGATTAAGTAAGGTAATTGGGGTTATTAGTGTGCCTAATCTGGATTATTAATTGAGTTTAATTAATAAATGTTTCTGACACGTGTGAGTTTAAATAGTTCCAAGGTATTTAAATTATTCTCAGTAATTTATTTTAACCCAGAAGTGTGTATGGGCGCATTTCTGGACCGTTCTTTTAAAATATTATACACATGTCCTTTTCCTTTCCTTTTCCTTTTCCTTTTCTTTTTCCTTTTTCCTTTTCTTTTCTTTTTATCTTCCTCTCTCTCCCTCTCTCTCTCTCTCTCATTTTTGTCCCAAATCAAACGGATCTTGAACCAAGCAAAGATTTAAAGAAGTTTTCAACGTCAAGAGAAGGATTCGAGGTAAGATTACTGAAAGAACCTCTCTTGAATCTCAAGTTTTTGAATTTCAAAACTCATTTTGGTTCAAATCAGATTTTGATGGTTTTTGTGTAAAACTAGGGTAGAAATTAGAGATCTTGGGTTCTTTGGACTTGTTTTAGGACCTAGAACCCAGATTTAGTGGTTTCCTTTTGAAATATCTCGATTTGGGACTGGATTTGCAGGTTTTGGACTGATTTATGTGAGCTTCTCTCACGCAGCTGATTCCACCAGTCGACTTGTGCGGTCGACCGGATCACATGGAAACCGTTCGACCTATGCGGTCGACCGGATCGCAGGCTGACCGGTCAACCGGTGTGCACACTACCGGTCGACCGGTAGTGTTGCACTGCTCTGTCAC